TTCTATTCTATTCTATTCTATTCTATTCTATTCTATTCTATTCTATTATTACCTCCCTTCAGATTATCCTGATGGAAGACTCCTGCTGGCTGAGGAATGCTAAATAGATTTTACAATGTGCCAAAGGTGCTTGAATTCAAAGAAAAACAAGAAAGTCCAGTTGCCTTTGAAAAAGCACCTTTGGGACAACTATGACCTGGAGAATCTCCATAAACTTTTAGATTCTACAATCTATGTATGAGTATAAAATTACTTCCTGGAAACTTTTGAGGATAGATAAAACCATTATAACATAATGGCTATCATGATGGTATTACAGATTTCTCATAATCTTCTAGTTGAATCATAGAGAAATCTACAAGTGGGGCAGGATAATGCTAATGGTATAAGTCTCATTGCAGGACTGTTTTTGGGATTCTCTTGAGTGATTTGTCCACCCCTCTTTCTATGTCCAATCTGGGCATCTCTCAATTTTAAGAGAAGCTTATGGGAAAATATCAGGCAGAAATAGCCCTAGAGGGGAGGGAAATAGATTTGTCATATTTGTACAATAAGTTAAATTCTGTACAACTCAACTCAAACAAATATAAAAAATAACCTCAGCAGTGTACAATATATGTCAATTTTTGCAGTGCAAAAAAGCAGGACTTTGAGAAAAAATGTGGGAATGCTGAGAATGGAAGTGAAAGTTGACTTAAAATGAGAAAGTAAAGGGTGACCTTTTTGTAGACAGCAACTCACCCATGGTAAGAAGAAATCTGAGAAGGATTTTGAGTAATTGAAAGAGATGTTAAACGTGGCTAAGAAATTCTTCTGCTAATTTTCAAGGACTGACATTAGAATATCTTACTGAAATCTATGTAATTCTTGCTTTTGGGATCTTGTCCAGTTAATCAATATTTTTACCCAATAAATGTATGAATATAGCTCCTAAACAAAAAAATGAATTGAATCAAAAGTTCTTACCTGCACTGAATTTCCCATTTGCTCCACAAATCACAACAGCTTTCACAGTGGGGTCAATATTTGCACGATTTACTTCTTGTTTTAAAGCCCGTAATGTCACATCACTAAAACCAATCATTTACAGTGTAAGAAAATCATTTACAGTGTAAGAAAAAAGATACATCTGCCTGAGTATCAATATAAAAGAAAGAATTCTTCAAGTAATAATTCAAGTAGTCTGATATACAAGACAAAATATTTATGATTTATTTCAGCAACAATAATCTGCTTGAAAGGTTAATTGATATTCATAAAACAGATTCATTCAGAAGTAATATCATAGTTTGACTTCTTTAAAATGACTTAATACGTCTATGTTAAAACAAATCTGGACAACTAGACTGCAGCAAAGGAATAAAGCAAACAATAATTTCTTGCTGCCATTTAGTAGTCATCCAGATTTTTGACATGTATATCTAATAAGTATAGTTTAAATCTTGGGTACATGAGCTCCCATTTCATGTGTACACTATCTATACAATGGCCTCTTACACAGTTCATCATAATATGGTAATAATATATTTATTTTCAATTATGAGAATTGTAGTAATATCTCTGTCATTTTCTATTTACTTCATTTATCAAGGTCAAGAATTACTGCAATATATTCTTTGATAAATATTGCAACCTGAAAAATTATAACTATTGTTTTATTTATCTCTCCCTGCCCGTTTCAAACCTATCCCTGCATTCTGATAAGATCTTTCTTCTGTGTGGCTTAGATTTCTCTGCCTTTTTGTGTTTTTAAAATAATTCATAAATCTGACACATTGTTAATACACGAAGATTGAGAAGATTAAAATTGCCACTAGAGGTAGCTATAATACTACCAAGAATTTATCATATATTAAATGAAAGAATTGAATGATTTTTTCTCTCATTTCCAGGATTAATGGAAATTGAAGGCGACCTCATAATCCAGGTGTTTGATGCATGAAAGATAACTGTATTGTTCACCACATGTTGCAATGCCTTTTTCACTGCCTAGCTTGTGCCATTTGAGTTGGCAGAAAACTGCACCAGCGTATTTTATTAGCTGTCTGCATTTGTGATTCCTTAAATGTCTTTATTGCCTGTATTTTAATTCACTGCAGTTACCTGACTTCCATAACAAAATCTAACAAAACTCGAAATTGCATTTGGGTGGTATTGAAATAAGAAACTCTATTTTAATACAGGTACGCTTAAGGATAATTTAAGCCAGATTTATACATAGGGTAGGGACACGATGAAGGGGGTAGGGGCACGATGAAGGAACATGAACATAGAAGAAACAATGTATTTCTAGACCTGTTTGTGGGTCACTGCAAGTATACAATCCACAATATCAATTAAGCTGTAAACTATAATTTATTATGGCCTAATTTATTATTCATGCCTTTTTTCTGGGCCCTGGAGACTAAAACTGGAATTCAATTTTCATCTTGTCCACACTAAGTTTGATACCAACTTAATTATTTGTAATATTTTAAAAAGCAAAACAAAATCAAAAGGCCAAGTAAAGATGATTGGGATATCAGCTATTAATTATGAAACTTTGACAAGCTTTAATATGCTATATACGCCATCTGACTCTAGAGGTAATTAAATTAATTAAATAAAATAAAGTTAATTAATTAAAAATAAAAACAGTTCATTTAATAATATGTAGTAATTGAGCATTTCATAATGTGATTACTTTTCTGAGTCAGCTGAATAAAATCCAAAGTCCTAAAAACACCAAGGTTTATATATTAACCAGAGCTCTTTCCATGATAGATTTTTCCCCTGCATAACCATTATTGTCATTATAACATTACTATGTATTCTGAAAGCAGAATTTATATAAATTACCTCATTTTAAATATAATTATTTTCCACATATTACTTTATCAAGAAAAAATTGAAAGGCATTATTCTTCTTTTTAAAATTTATATTAGTCTGTACAATGAATTAAGTTTGTTGTTTTTTGTTTCTTAAACAGTAGAATATCTAGAGGTGGAATTCAGCAGATTCTGAACAGTTCTGGAGAACCAGTAGCGGAAATCTTGAGTAGTTCAGAAAACCGGCAAATGCCATCTCTGACTGGCCCCGACCCCCCCCCTCTTCTCTGCCTCCCAAGTCCCAGCTGATCGGCTGGGTCTTCTTTTGTTGGCCTGCACAGGAAAATGGAGCTGGAAAGCAAGTTAGTGGGGTGGGAAGGGAATGGAAATTTTACAGTATCCTTCCCCTGCCACACCCACCAAGCCATGTCCACAGAACCAGTAATAAAAATGTTTGAATCCCACCATTGAGAATATCAACAGTAGATAAATTTGTTGGAACTGGGCAAAATAGAAATTCATTTTTGCATATCTATCGGATCACATTCCAGATTTAAAACCAAGCAATGTACAGAATTTTCTTAAAATAAAATTATACAGTATTATACA